GACCAAACTGTGATTGTGCCTGCAATAGCTTAGCATCAATGGCCATATGTGTGTTGGTGTTGCTTAATTGATCTATCTTGGGGAGTTGTGACTGGAAATAAGGGTTTGGGTGGTTTATAATCTCGACGTCTGTTTGGTTAGTAGTCGCAGCTGGCGGCACGGTGGGATTGAATTGGTGGACGAATTGCGGGTTTGACTGAGAAGAAGCTTCTACGTTGCGGTTCTCTGAGTTCATCATGGGGTTTGCTCGGAAGTAGCAGTGGGGAGACGATACCGCGCTTCTGTAATAAGCTTCTTTAAGGTTCCTACCATTCTCATAAGACGCGGAAGATTCCACAACACGACCTGGTCTACCTGTAAAAATACAAGACGATAAATTTGTTTTCCTCGGGTTGAAGTTTCTAACATTGGGAAATAATATTTGGTGATGTGATCGAGGTTTTTACCTGATGGTACTCTTGGTGGAGGTCCTAAAGATTTAGTTGGATATGCGGAAGTCGATGGATTGCTAGAAACGGCGCCATTTCTTGAAGGCTCGAAAGACACACGTCTACTATCCGTTGCACTCAAGTTGGGCTGAGAGGTGGAATGGACTACACTCGAGTGAACTGTAGACCTATGGAGAAAAGTAAGAGGTAGAGATTATCATATCTATTAGAAGAGTAGAGACCAGATGAAAGTTTGCTTATGGCCTTTGCCGAGAAAACATACCGAGGAAGTGATGCGTGCTTCCTCTCGAGAGGTATGACGGGCCCATTTCTGCTGCTATTCTCCTCTAAGTAAGTGAACTGCTTCCTAAGATGTCCAATGGCACTGCAAAGAAAAAGTTAAGAAATTAGCAAAACAAGGATAAATCCAAAGGAAGGAAGAAGCGACGAGTGTTTCATTTAGCGGATAAGTCAAAAGTAAGAAGAAATAAAAACCTCGGATACACAAAATTACAGCCCTCGGATCCACTCATATAGTCCTTGAGCAACTGAGGATGGTATTCCAGTATTTCTCTGTATATTAGTTCTCTAATATCCTCCTTTGTCAACCTACGTCTCTCAAATTCAAACTCCATCTTCGAGATTGGCTGACATGAAGGTTCTCTCTCGACCTTAGAAAGACCCTTAAAGTAAGGATCAGCCAACGCCTATTCATAAACAAGAAAAAAGAAGGCAAAGTAAGCCGGGATACACACTAGAAGCGAAGACGAAGGAACAAGAATCTAATAAAAAGTGAAGAGAGAGACCTCTGCAGCCGTCGGTCTGTCCTTTGGATCAAAAGCCAACAGCCTCTGTAAAAGACGAAGTCCTAAAGGATCTGCTTTTGGGAATTTTTGCGAGAAGGAGATGGGATTTTTTTTCTTCATTTCGGTCAAGTATTTTCTAGCTTTATCATTTCGAACCTGCATCAGAGAAAATACATTTTTTTTAGCAATACAATTCAAAAATAACATATACGGTGCAAGTGAATGTGAAGCAGACAGATAATAAGATCATACTCCAGAAATCGTCTCTGATTTCGGTGTGCCAAGAAGATCAGTAATCAACTCCAACTGATGAACAACACTTTTCCCCGGAAACAATGGCTTCCCCATTAGTACCTCTGCAAAGATGCAGCCAATGCTCCAAATGTCGATAGCTGGAGTGTACTGCAAATAGATATTAACTGTAATTCAGAATACGAAGAAACAATTTTTTTTTTCTTTCACAAATGAAGTTGCAGATGCAAGAAGAAACCACTCAATGAACATAACCTGATACAAGGTTACCTGATTCACAGATTTTCAACTTCCGGGAGAGTTCAAAGTCATCCCTGAACAAGAATTATTTTAATATGCTTGTTCATACTATCCCACGGGGTCACAACTCTATACTTATACAATCTTCTAACACTATACTACGCTAAACATATCCAATACATAAGACATAAAGCATGGACGAGTAAGAGAACCAGTCCATAGTAACACATACCTTCGAAAAGAATGATCCACAGAGCTCAGGCGCTCTGTACCATCGTGTAGCAACATAGTCCTGCATTGCGAAAAAACGAAATCAAAACACAAAATTGGAGACACTTAACAAACAAAAAGCGGCCATGAAGCTACAAACCGTCCAAAAGACCGTTGTAGGAGTATCATTGAACGAAACTCTAGCCAATCCAAAGTCACAAACTTTCAATTTACAGTTTGCATTCGCCAATATATTCTTCGGCTTAAGATCACGATGATAAACATCAGCTACACAAAGTAAAAAACACATAACAGTAAGTTCCAAAACCAAGAGAAAACCAAACCTAATATCCTCAAAAACCGATAAGAATCGAACCTGTATGCATAAACTTTAACGCACGAAGCATCTGATAAAGGAAAAACTGATGATGTTCGCGAGTTAAATCATCGTTAGCTTTAATAACTTGATGAAGATCAGATTCCATAAGCTCAAACACAACATAAATGTCTTTAAACTCTCTTTTAGAAGGAGGTAACATAATGCTCTTGATTTCAACTATATCAGGATGTCTTAAAAGCCTTAAAAGCTTAACTTCACGGAGAATTCGAAGTGCATCAGAAATATGTTCAAATACATCATTAATCTTCTTAATAGCAACTTTTTCATTAGTATGTGTATCAATAGCTGCACATACAACTCCATAACTTCCTTTACCAATAACTTCAAGTATCTTATATCGATTTGCATCACCATACTCTGTGAAAAACTCCATCTCTTTCGTTTCCTAATCAAAATCACAACAACAACATCAAAGTTCATATATGAATCCAATTCGAATTTTTGCTCATGCAATTTGAGAAAGGAAAG